CGAGATGGTTAGAGTTGATTAAGGACAATGACTGTCACATCGCTTACCACCCAGGTAAGGCGAATGTGGTGGCCGATGCCCTTAGTCATTAAGACTCTAGCTGTGTTGCATGTTCAGCCTACATTTTGTTAGCAGATAGCATCGGCTCAAAGCAGCGATGATTTTTGTGTCCAGACCATTGAGCTCATCTCTCGAGGCGAGAAGCCAAATTTCACAGTTCAGGATGATATCTTGTACTATCGGGAGTGTATGGTAGTGCCAGCGGGAGATGTGAGAGAACGCCTTCTTCGCGAAGCACACAGCACCGTATATACCATGCACCCGGGCAGTAACAAGATGTTTCAGGATCTTAGAAGACATTACTGGTGGCCTGCGATGAAGCAGGAGATCACAGAGTTCACATCGTGGTGCTTGACTTGTCAGCAGGTCAAGGCCGAGCATCAGGTTCCTTCAGGATTACTTCAGCAGATCAGCATTCCCGATTGGAAGTGAGATCGTATCGCGATGGATTTTGTCGTGGGACTGCCATTGTCACCACGTAAGCACGACACAGTTTGGGTCATTGTTGATCGATTGACCAAATCAGCTCATTTTCTTCCCATTCGTCGTGACTTTCCACTTCAGCATTTCGCGGAGTTGTACATCCGTGAGATCATCAGGCTACATGGAGTTCCATCATCTGTCATTTCAGATCGTGACCCTCGATTCACATCCCAGTTCTGGAAGAGCCTACAGAGCACATTAGGCTCCGATCTCCACTTCAGTACCGCATTCCACCCTCAGACAAACGGTCAGTCTGAGAGGGTGATTCAGATTCTTAAAGATATGATGCGCGGATGCGCGATCGACTTCGGGGACGGTTGGGAGAGATATCTACCGCTCATGGAGTTCGCATACAACAACAGTCACCAGGCTAGCGTCGGTATGGCACCGTACGAGGCTCTGTACGGTAGACCTTGCCGTACTCCTACCTGTTGGACAGAGCTCAACGAGAGGAGGTTAGAATGACCAGATCTAGTTCGTGAGACCGAGGAGAAGGTCCAGGTGATTAAAGACCGACTTAAGGTGGCTTAGGACCGACAAAAGTCCTACGCCGACCTTAAGATACGTGACATCGAGTATGCAGTCGGGGATAAGGTTTTCTTGAAGGTGTCGCCTTAGAACAAAGTTCTTCGCTTCAGTAAGAAGGGGAAACTCAGTCCGAGGTTTATAGGTCCATATCCTGTCATTGAGCGTGTGGGACTTGTAGCTTACAGACTCGAGCTACCACCTAAGTTGAGAAAGATACATGATGTGTTTCACGTGTCTATGCTATGGTGATACCGATCAGATCCGACACATATACTTCCAGCAGATTCAGTCACTCTGGACGAGAATCTCACATACGAGGAGGAGCCAGTTGAAATTCTAGCCCGAGAGGTCCGACAATTGCGTAACAAGAAGATTCCATTGGTCAAAGTCCTTTAGAGGAGTCACTCCTATGAAGAGGCAACCTGGGAGACCGAGGAATCCATGCGAACCCGTTTTCCTCATCTTTTCAACGATTATTGATCAGGTAAATTTCGGGGACGAAATTTTTCTTAAGGGGTAGATAATTATAACGCCCTGCAACCCGGTCTAATAAAATTGACGATTTTAAATAATTAATTACTATTCCGGACTAGAGTTGGGAAAAATAAAAGTTCTTAGAAAAATTAATTGAACATGTCATTAAGTTCGTTTTGACTGTCTGATTCCAGAAACGCAAACGGATCTCAATTCGGACCCGTTCGAGGGGAAATGCGTACCGTTCAGGTCAGATTTTTATACAATGGAGTAAGATTAATGAAATAACTGCCCACATAATTCCACCTCCATTCTCACGCCACTACACACCCTCATCCCTCCAATCAATTCACCATTTCACCCATTTAATTCCATTTAATAAAAACCCCCTCCCCCATTCATGTTCTTCATCATTTGTAACCCCCATCACATTCTCTCCTCTCCCTCTTCCCTTGCACAATCTCGGCCAGGCCATAGCAGCTCTAAGAGGTTTTCCAGCGAGTAGACGGGAAGGTAGAATAAGAGAAGTTCACACAAGGAGCCGTACGTTGTCCGCCGTTCGTCTGTTCGTTGGTTCATAGCTAACCGTTCGTTCATCTCGTCTTATCCTTCTGTCAATCCCTTCGTTTAGAGGTGAGTAGTTGTCTCCTCTAATTCTAGAACATTTAGTTATAATTCATGTCGTTATATTCATAGGAATATCGTACGCAACCTACGTAGAATCTATGCATGTTCGTAGGTTAGCCATCAAAACGTTCACTACGTAAAACTTATATATTTTGGCCTAGGAATTACTAGGAACATATTCACCAATGTTAGTATTATTTTCCTAAAAAGAATTAAGGCATTAAACTTTCAAAATGGATCAAAACGTAGCCAAGGACCGAAGACTGTCACCGGGACGGTCGACCGTCGCTTCGGACGGTGGACCGTACCCTCAGGCATTCCGACGGTCATCACCGTGACGGTCGACCGTCAGCCGCGACGGAAGACTTAGGTGGACCGTTTGTGTCCCAGACCCAGACCGTAGCCCATGGTCGACCGCCGGTAGGGTACGGTCGACCATTACTCGGGCAGATTTTTGGGTAGTTTGTAGAATGAGTCCCATTGACCATATTGACCCAGAATCTGATTGCATTTTTGCGTGAAATGTTAATCTACATTATGTATGTTATTTTATTGATATATTCTTGGCTTGACCAAAGGTAAATATATCAAGTATTCATCACGTTTATCCTAGACGCATGTCCTAGTTTTACCATCATGTGCATACCGCTGTACGGAGGTCAGGCTTTCGTGCGCCTACTACACTGGGCCCGTTCAAGAACCTTTGTGATCCAATGGGTTTTCATCAGGCGGGCTTTGTGTACGTACATGGTAGTCAGGTTACGCCTACCACCCGGTTTTGCTAGTCCACTTGCGACACTTTCGTCGAGCCCGGCTCATTACTGTTTTGGTATGATAACTGGAGTGCAGGGGTGATCCTGTCAAGTGAGACTAAGCCAGGGGTGTCCTTGATAGTTTAAGTCATGCATCAAGCCATATCATCATCATGTATGTTCCATATCACATCAACATTTAATGTGGTTAGATATGTCATTTTGTTATGTGTATTAGTACCCCATGAAATGCAAATTGAACAGTTATTACAGATGTGGTTTTCCGTACATTCAGTACAGGTATCAATATCTGTATAACCATATGGGTTATTACTTTATGTTCTTTTGTTAGATTCACTCCTCAGCTTTTGCTCAGCGTGTAGTTGTTTTTGCTACACGCAGGTAGACATGACGGTATAGGTGCTAACCCTGGAGGACAGTGATGATGGGAGGATGGGCGGCGCACGGACGAGTTCAATATTTAAATACATTTAATTAATTAATCAGTTGGGCATGAACCCACCCTATGTCGTTTACTTATTTTGGACTGGACTTATTTATTTACTTCCGCTTTTACTCTTACTCTGCATTTATATCACATACGTTTTGGGGATTAACTTCCTAACATTTATTTCACTAATTAAACACAACGGTTTTCATAATAAGTAAGCATTAATGTTTTTCGCTATGGACGGTTCTCGGACCGCCCATGTAACCCTACCGGTCTGTTGGGTCGCGAGAGAACCGGGTCCACGGAAGGCGGGTGTTACACCTGCGATTTCTACGATCAAACGCTATTCACCCCCCTCC